TAAAAAAAATAAAATTGCTGCAAAAGGAAAATGTTCACCGAGTTATCACAGATTTGATGTCACAGAAACATTCCCCGGTTTGTGGTGGAAACAATACATTCTCTGCTTTATTTCATAAATATCACTGGGCTTTACGTGAATACACTTAGCTGTGAAAAATAAAACAAACAAAAAAGCAGCTTTTATGCCCCATGTGTAGGATGACAGTGCAGAATACTGACTAGATCTGTTTCTAATCATGTAATCACATGATCAATGTATAAGGCCCAAAGTCCTGATTTGTATACGTTTGATTCCAGAACGTGGGGGTAGGGTAGATAAGATTAATGTTGCCAATCTACCTACCTTCTCTCTCATCAAATATTGATCTATATGTATTAATACTAACCATTCAGCTTGCCATCATCTATTCTCCAGTAGGGTACACACCACGCCACCCTGGGTACACGGCACGCCACCCTGGGTACACGGCACGCCACCCTACCCTGGGTACACGGCACGCCACCCTACCCTGGGTACACGGCACGCCACCCTACCCTGGGTACACGGCACGCCACCCTAGGTACACTGTATGCCATATAAGAGTCTTACAATTAGATATACATAATGCTATTTGACAGGGATTTTATTGCGTTACACATCACAAATGGATTATAGAAATCGCACACTACAGTGTACATATACACAGCCAACATTTGCACATTGCTGTAGAAATTGCTCAATCCCCGAAGCAGACTAGTTACCATGGATACATTAGATTTACTGTAATCATTAAACTACATCTTTTACAATAAACACTGTTTGTTGGAGCCATTTCTCAAACATACTTTGACCGATCTCATTCAAAGGCCATGTATAAAGACATACTTATGCATGTTAATTGATTTTTGTTACCATTTCATCAAATATGGTTTCAAAATTTGCTGAATTCTGTTATTTATTCAAGTCCAGAGATAAAGGTCGACTTTATTATAAAAGTTGTATTTATATTTTTTTCCAGATCCAAACAAACATTGCCGACTGGCAGCCATTTTGTTTTTATTGATGCTTATTTCAATTCCTCAATAATAGATAGCTTGCATGCGAGTACTATACTCATAGATAATATCAACAAATCTTGCTTCTCAATTTTGAAAGATAATTTATAAAAAAAGCAAATCAACTCACTTTTCCCGATAAACATGCCCTCTGCTGACAGATTTCTTCTATAACACAA